TCAGGAGGACTGGGCTCAGATGCCAGCCCTGCTGGTCCCTGGCTGTATGACTGCTCTGTGCCTCAGTTTCCTCATCTGTAAAATGGGATTGATAAAAACAGCCACCACATGGGATTGGTAGTGAAGATTCAGTAAAGTGCTTTGGACAGCATCTGACACAGGTACACTTAACGAGCCACGCTGTTGTGGTGTGAGTTCAAGCAGCATGTTGCCCCTCTGGGGTCTCTTCCCTCACCTCCACAGTGGACAGCTTGATGCACAACTAAAGGCCTTTGCAACTCAGTGTCCAAGGGTTTGTGAGGGCCACAAGGCCTGTTCCTTCTGCAGGATCCTCACCCCAGCATTGGCTGACAATAGGTCGATGTCGCCAGGGCCCTGCCTCCAGGCACGATTGTCCCTCGGCCATCTGCTAATCTGCCGGGAAAGCAAAGCCACACCTTCCGCAGCCCCACATGAAGCTAGCGATCTTACCTCGGCTCCCCGAGTCACCCCCATCCCAGAAGGCTGGCACTGGCTGCCATCCACAGTGGTACTGACTAGTGCGGTGAATGCAAATCCCAGGAAACTGGGCCCAGCTGCTCATTAATGGTAATTAGCTCGGGGTCTGTCAGCTGCGAAGAAGCTGCAGGGCCCAGGCTGTTCCCCACCCCCTCACCCCCACTCCACTCGGCTTTGTTTTGTGCCACCCGCTTCCCACCCTCCAGAGACCCAGCCTTCCTCCTCCTAAAACTGCAGAGGACTGTGAGTGCTCAAAACGGACCCTTCCCTCCCAAAATGGATGCTCCCCTCCGTCCCAATTTTCCTATTTCTGCCTTCACCCCCTTGTCTGAGCCCCCCACTTCCCTTTTGTCTCCACCCACCCCAGAGTCTACAACCCCCATCTGAGTCTCATTCTCTCTACACCACAGCCCCTCTCTGAGCTCCCTCACCACTGGGTCCCTGTCTATTTCACTCACTGTGCTTACATCTCCTCCCTTGAGCTCCCTCTTCCCTGACCAACCCCTCCTGCTCCATCTCCCTGGGCCCACTTCTACCCTGCTCCAGCCTGACTCATCTTCAGAGCCTGTGTCTCCCCCAGTCCCTATTCCCCTTGCAGAACATGCAACACACGGGCATGCACTTGCGATGCTGTGCCTCCTAAGCCCCTTCGGTGGTGTCACAAGCCCTCCAGGCCAACTCCTCCATTCTGGAGGCCATACAGGCCTGGTCTGCAAAGGTGAAGGGAGAATTTTCCATGGGCAGAGCTGAGGAGCCACCTTGGCTGGGGGCTTCCATAATCAGACAGGGACCACATGGTGGGAGCCTTAAGAGGCCAATGATGGGACATGAGAGTCTACCGGACATGCCTCACTGTCTGCTGGATGCTGTGTGACACTTATTTCCTTCTTACTGCCCTGAGGAGACAGAGGCTCAAGAGATGTCATCTGCCTGAGTCTCACAAGAGGGCCTGAGCCGAGATCAAACCAAGCAAGGCTCACTCCACATCCCAACTTCTCTCTGCTACACCCCCAGGCCTCCCAGGCCCTGCCCCAGTCCCTCTGGCCTGGCCACGCCTGGTAAGAGGAGGCGGGAGGAACAGAAGCACCAAGAAGGGCGGGAATTTGTGGGGGAGAAAGAGGGGAGGCAGGTGTCTGTGGGATGCTCTATCCTGGCCTTCCTTAGTCCTCAATCCCCCAACCCCAGCAGGCCCCTGACCCCACCCACCCACCCCATTCTCATCTGGCCTCCATGTGCTGGCGCCTGCACCTGAATACACACTCCCCACCAATTTGTCTTGGGCTGTCAGACGATCAATGGGGCTCCCAAGCCCTGGCCCAGCAGGGAGCTGGAGGGGAGTCCCTAATGAGAGTTAAGAAGGGACCCAGGGGAGGAGGCAAAGCAGGGAGAAGCAGGCTGAGAACAGGAGCATGAGCCTGGATCTGGCATTTTGTTGAAAAGGCCCTCAGAGGGACTGGTTCCCCAGTAGTAAGACCTGTCAACTCTCTTATTCAGGGGTCCCAGGCTGCTTTCCAAGTCTGTTTTGCCTCTGACCTTGGGATCTGTCCCTTCCCTACTCTGAGCCTCAGCTTCCTTATTTGTGAAGGTGAAAGAGATTGCACTACCCTGGGATTGCACCTCAGGTGGACATAAGTTTCTAAAATCAGCAAGAGATCTCTCTTTGTGTTCAAATATGAAATGGTATCCAAAATGTTAAGCAAAAGAGAGCAAGATGCAGATCATGTGTCTACTTAGCTATCTCGTGCATGCACGTAACTCTAGAAAAAGATGGATGAATGGATTAGCTTGTCTATGCATAGAACATTTCTAGAAGGACACAAGAATCAGTGAGACTAGGGATGGCTTTGGTAGAGGATCAGGGTGGCTGGGGTGGGGTGGGTGGGAGACTTGCCTTACACTCTGCTATACTGTTGGAATATTGGTCTAGGCTTATGTATTCCTTTGTCAAATAATAATCGCATCTATTGCAAAGTACATCATCCTGCTAGGAAATGTATAGGTAGGAAATATAAAGAGAAACAGCGTATTTACATAGTATCAGTGTATTTTCCTGTATTTGTTAATTTCAAAGAGAAAAATGGTAACTTTACAGTGGAGAAACCTGGCAGACACCACTTTCACCAAGTGATCACAGTGAACACTGCTAATAGCAGGGCCAGTCTGCATCACAGGCCCCCTGATGGGACGCACTGTGAAGGACAAAGCATCACTGATGTGGTGTTCTTGCCACAGGTGCCTGATCTGAATTGAATCATAAAGAAATAACAGAAAAATCCAAACAGAGGGACAATCTGCAAAACAACTGGCCTAAACTTTTCGAATACTGTCAGTCATAAAAGTCAAAGAAACTGTATCAGGCTGGGTGCTGTGGCTCACAACTGTAATCCCAGCACTTTGGGAGGCCAAGGCAGGTGGATGACCTGGGGTCAGGAGTTTGAGACCAGCCTGGCCAACGTGGTAAAACCCCATCTCTACTGAAAATACTAAAAGTTAGCCAGGCATGGTGGTAGGACCTGTAATCCCAGCTATTCAGAAGGCTGAGGCAGGAGAATCGCTTGAACCTGGGAGGCAGAGATTGCAGTGGGCAAAGATCGAACCACTAGCCTAGGCAACAAGAGTGAAACTACATCTTAAAAAAAAAAAAAAATGCCAGCACAGTGGCTCACACCTGTAATCCCAGCACTTCAGGAGGCAGAGGCAGGTGGATCACTTGAGGTCAGGAGTTTGAGACCAATCTGGCCAACATGGCAAAACTAAAAAAAATACAAAAATTAGCCAGGCATGGTGGCAGGTGCCTGGAATCTCAGCTACTCGAGAGGCTGAGACAGGAGAATCGCTTGAACCTGGGAGACAGAGGTTGCAGTTAGCTGGGATGGCACCACAGCACTCCAGCCTGGGCAACAGAGGGAGACTCTGTCTCAAAAAGAAACTGTTCCAGATAAAGAAGACTAAAATGAAAACTAAAGAGATATAAAAATTAAATACAACATATATCCAGGACTGGATACTGAGTGGGGTGGGGGGAAAGTGTTTTTTTTTGTTTTTGTTTTTGTTTTTTGAGATGGAGTTTCACTCTTGTTACCCAGGCTGAAGTGCAATGGCGCGATCTCGGCTCACCGCAACCTCCGCCTCCTGGGTTCAGGCAATTCTCCTGCCTCAGCCTCCTGAGTAGCTGGGATTACAGGCACACGCCACCATGCGCAGCTAATTTTTTGTATCTTTAGTAGAGACCGGGTTTCACCATTTTGACCAGGATGGTCTTGATCTCTTGACCTTGTGATCCACCCGCCTCCGCCTCCCAAAGTGCTGGGATTACAGGCTTGAGCCACCTGCCCTGCCCGGAGAGTTCTTTTTGTGTATTTGCTACAATGAACATTAGTAGAACCACTATTTCAATAGGTCTAATAAGATAGACAATAACATTGTATCAATGTCCTGATTTCAATAGGTCTATAAGATAGACAATAACATTGTATTGATGTCCTGATTTTTTTGTATCTGTCCTGGGATCTTGAAGAGGATACTTTTGTTTTTAGAAATACACATGGGATAATTAACTGGAAGGTAAAGAGTCAATATGTCTGCAACTTATTTCCAACAATACAAACACTGGACAAAAATGTATTCAGAGAGAGAATGAAAAAGCAAAGATAGCAAAATGTTAACATTGAAGGAATCTGGGTGATGGGTATGTGGGAATTCTTTGTACTATTATTGCAAACTTTCTGTAAGTCCGAAATTATTTCAAAACAAAAAGTCAGGTATAAATAGAGTCATTGGCATAGCTGACATGTAGCAGACACATGTGTGACGTTCAGGTGCTGTGTTAAGTGCTTGGCCCATTTGATCAAATTTCATCCTTGCAACCACCCTATGAGGAAGGTGTAGCTGTTTCTCATCTTTGTGCAGATGAGAAGCTTGAGGCACAAGGTGGTTAAACTACTTGCCCAAGGTCACACACCTGGAACAGGTGATGCTCAGGGACTCCTCTTCAGCCTCATCAGATAGCTCAGGGATCTAGGAATCAGAATTCCATTGTTTCTCAGCGCTGGGATTGTGCTCTTATTGGAATGGCGCCTTGATGTCATTATTCACCCTTCCGTCAAATATTCACTCATTCATCTGACCAATCACATGTACTGAGCACCCACTGCCAGCCAGACACTGGAGCTGTAAAGATGAGTAAATGGGCAAAAGCTTACAGAGCACCCACCATGTACCAGGTACCAGGCTCTGGGTTCAGTGTGGTGGATAAAGAGATGAGCCAGACCTATCTCTGTCCTCCAGGAGCTCACCAGCCATCAGGGAAGACCAGCAGGCAAGCCAACCAGAATAGAGACATGTAAAGGGCTGTGGGAACTCCAAGAAGTGGAAGCCTGGAAGGTTCCATTGAGGAAAGAGCCTTTAGGCCAGGTTTTGATGGATGTGTAGGAGTTCCTAAAATGGTGAAAGAAGCACTCCTTTTTTTTTTTTTTTTTTTTTTTTTTTGAGACAAATCTAGCTCTGTTGCTCAGGCTAGAATGCAATAACCTCACTGCAACCTCTGCCTCTCTGGTTCAAGCGATCCTCCCACCTCAGCCTCCCAATTAGCTGGGATAACAAGTACCTGCCACCATGCCCAGCTAACTTTTGTATTTTTAGTAGAGACGGGGTTTCACCATGTTGACTAGGCTGGTCTCAAACTCCTGACCTCAGGTGATCCTTCCACCTCAGCCTCCCAAAGTGCTGAGATTATAGGCATGAGCCACTGCCCCCAGTGAAAAGGGCACCCTTAATGGAAGAAACAGCACAAGCAAAGGCTCAGGATAGAAACAAGTAGGTTTCTGGGACAGGGTGTGACCTGGAGTGACTGGAGCACTGTGGGAAAGGTCAAGAAATGAGATTGGAGAAGCAGTCGGCCCAGCTAGGGAAGGGCTTTAGATGCCAGACAGTTGTTATAATTAAGCCCCGGAGAGTCCAGATAAATATTTCCTTCTTTTTTCCTCTCTATCCTCCTCCTTCTTTTCAAGTGCAGACAGCTGAGTTAATCCCATTTCTCAAGTCACAGCTCATTGTCGTCACACACTTCACTTTATTTTTTCCTCGATCCCTACTCCTTTCCCCCTTACTCCCAACCATCATGGGCATCCACTTGTGTGAAACTAACACTCGATGATGAAGGCAGCATGTGGTGGTGTGAAGCACAAGGATTCTGGAGTTGGACTGCCTGGATTCAAAGCTGGGTCCACATTTTACCAGCTGTGTGGACTCTGGGCAAGTTACTTAACCTTTCTGTGCTTCTGTTACTTAATCTCTGTAAATACTGATAAAACTGATATTTGTATCACAGGACAGTTATGAAGATTAAATGAGTTATCACTTGAAAAACACTTAAAATAGTATAGGTATCTATGTGATAAATAAATCTCGTTCAGGCACTGTGGCTCACGCCTCAATCCCAGTGCTTTGAGAAGCCGAGGCAGGAATATTGCTTGAGGCCAGGAGTTCAAGACCGGCCTGGACAGCATAGTAAGACCCTGTCTCTGCAGAAAAATTTAAAACATAGCTGGCCATGGTGGTGCATGCCTGTAGTCCCAGCTACTTGGGAGGCTAATGGGGAGGATCTCTTGAGCCCAGGCGTCCCAGGCTGCAGTGAGCTGTGATCATGCCACTGCACTCCAACCTCCTGGGCAACAGAGTAAGACTTCGTCTGTAAAATAAACAAACAACAAAGAAATAAATCTCAAACAAGTCTCCACTATGTACTTGGATATACTGTTATCCTTGTAGAAAGATAACAATATATTGCAGTGGCTCATGTCTGTAATCCCAGCACTTTGGGAGGCCAAGGCAGGCGGATCACCTGAGGTTGGGAGTTCAAGACCAGCCTGACCAACATGGAGAAACCCCATCTCTACTAAAAATACAAAATTAGCCAGGCTTGGTGGTGCCTGCCTATAATCCCAGCTACTTGGGAGGCTGAGGCAGGAGAATTGCTTGAACCCAAGAGGCAGAGGTTGCAGCAAGCCAAGATCATGCCATTGCACTCCAGCCTGGGCAACAAGAGCAAAATTCTGCCTCAAAAAAAAAAAAGAAAGTGCTTACATCACAGCCTCTTCCTTTGTATCTGTTCCCTCCCTTTAAGAACTCTCGTTCAATCCCATGACTTCAGTTTTATGTCAGTGATGCTCAGCATGTATCTCCAGTTTCGGTCTCACCCTAAACTGCTGCCTTGACACTTCTGCTAAAATGTCTAACAGCTGTCAGACCTAACCTGCCACCTGTCCAAAACCTGCTCCATGCCAGCCTTCCCTAAGCCAGCTTCCTTCCCTTCAAACAGGCCGAATGCCTCGAGGTCATTCTGGCTTGTCTTCACTCAAACCCAACATTAGATCTTTCAGCAAATCATGTCAGATCCACCTACGAAACACATGCAGGATGCAGCCACTTCCACTGCCACTATCCAAGCCTTGCTCATCTCCCACCAGGCCTGCTGTGGCATCTCCTCTACCGGCCTCTGCTCTGAGCTCCCACTCCTGCCCCCTCAACACTCTCTTCACTCAGCAGCCAGAGGGATTGTCTCAAAAACGGACTCTGATTGTGTCACTCCTCTGCCGAAACTCCCAGCGAGTAAGTGCCATTGGAAAACAGAACAAACCCCAGCTCCTTTCAATGACCCTCAGTCCTCTAGGGTCTGCCCCTCCACTTTCTCCTCCTCACCTCCTGCCTTCCCCTCATTTACTCCTCTGCAGCAACACCTGCCTCTTGGCTGTGCCTTCATCACACCAGGCACCTCTTGCACCCCAGGGCCTTTGCGCTTGCCATTCCCATTTCCTGGAATCCTCTTCCTGCAAGTCTGTTCCCAGTTGTCAACTTCATGGTGAAGCTTCTCCTGGACAACCTGCTCAAAAGGTGATAACCTTCTTTGTTTAATTTTCTTACTGATTTTTTTCTTATTTGTCTGTCTCCATACATAGAATGCATATTCCATAGATGCCAGAATTTTTGCTAGTTTTGCTCGTTGCTGTGTCTCCAGTGCCTAGAACAGTGCCTGGCACACAGTAGGCCCTCATAAGGATTTGTGGAATGAATGAAAGACAGGTTTGGTGCCTAGCACCAAAGAAGATCTGAAAGTGAATTAATTAATTAAAGGAAGGAAGAGACGGAAGACAGCTGGGATTATTGGCTCAGAAGTCACCCAAGAGAGCACTGGAGTCCCAAGATCCCAAGAACCCCCTTCCCAGCCCCTGTGAATGCTGCCTACCAGGGAGCAGGTACCCTCCACACCCTGAGGCCTGCCCATCCTGGATGTAAACCCCCAAGGCTAAGAAGATAATAATCACACAATCCAACTCCCCCACCACCCCAGGGCACAGGAGCCCAGAGGGAAAGATGTCCTCTTGAATTCCTCATGTTCTCCTCCTCCAGTGTTTCTGGGAAAATGCAAGGTGTGGTTTGGAAAGACCCTTCTGTCCCATCACTGCAGCTGGGCTGTGAGCCCAGACCTCAGCTTCTGGGCTTCAGTCTCTGGACACCTGGAAGGAGATGCCTCCATATAGAGAGAGGGCTATGGGCTGCTGGAACACAGTGGGACCCCACTGGGGCCTGTGGTTGGGGCAGGGGAGCCAAATGGGAGGAGGTGGGGCATCTTAAACCCATCAGAGCTGGGAAACGGGGATGGGGAAGTGACGGAGCCCCCGTGACTGGAGACATCCGAATGCTGTGGCTGGCGAAGGCCTTCAGAAGACGGGCCAAACGTGCCCGTCTTTCTCTTCACCCTTGTTCTTTACCATCTTCCTCCTCTGCCTCCCACCCCACTTCTTTAAAGCTGCGGTGCAGGGCTGCACCAGAGCGTGGGCTCTGATAGTCTCCTGTGCTACAAGTCCCAGCTCCCCACTTTGCGAGTCCTCTGCCAAGTGGCTTCACCTCCTTTGCCTCAGTTTAACCCTCTTTATAAAGAGCACAGTAACTGCGCCTACTTCCAAGGGTTAATTAGTGACTAAAATGAGGAAATGCATGTGCCAGCTGACAGCATGCCTGTCACATAATGAGCACTCAACAAATGCTGGCTATTCTTTTTCAGCATAATCTGCCATGGAGACCAATCTAAGACACGAGGGAAAGAATGCCAGCTCTGCTGAAAGTTGGGGTCTTCCCATATTTTGTGGTGGCCACTGAGGCACCTCTCAGAAGCTAACCCTAAAATCACCCCAAAATTGATCTAAAGTTTTCACTGTGCAGTTGGGAAAACTGAAGCCCAAAGGGAGGAAGCTAATTCTCAGCCTTTCCTGATATAACAATTTTTCTTGCAGGCTTCCTGTGTGCCAGGCCCTGTGCTAGGCATCGGGGGTGGGGGGGACTGGAGAAAAAGCCCTAATCTGCCTGCCCTTGGGGCTTACCCTCTAGCTCCAGGACAGGAACAGATAACTGAATGTTGACCACGCAGAGTAGATGCCAGGAGGAAAATCAGAGGCCAGAGAACGAATTAGCTGGAAAGGGGGATTGGTGGGGTTACATTGTTAGAGCTGAGACCTCCAAGAACGAAAAGGTGCCATGTGAAGCAGGGAGGGGGCAAGTGGATGTTACCAGCACTGTTGTTTGTAACAGCAAAAAAAAACAAAAATGACCCAAATGTTCATCAACATGGACTTCAGATACTTTATTGTGATATTAATATATTCATATAAGGGAAGACTGCCCAGCAGTGCCAATGAATGTCAGCTGCCTGCCTTAATGCAGATGCATCTCCAAAGCATGCTGTGGAAGGAAAAGAGCATGTGAGGTCGGTTACACAGAAGCCATAAAATATGTATGCACTTCTATACATTTTTAAGAATGATGCTTGAACCCAGGAGGCAGAGGTTGCAGTGAGTCAAGATCGTGCCATTGCACTCCAGCCTGAACAACAAGAACAAAACTCTATCTCAAAAAAAAATTGTTTTAAAAAGAATAAAACATAGTCCTATGTATTGAGTAAGGATTTATTGTATGCTGTAAAAGGCAAAACATTCATGGAAATAATAACCATCAGGATTGTGACTTCTAAGAGGGTGGATGGGGCTGGTGGGAAGGGATGCCAGGGGCCCTCTGTATTAGCAATTGATCCTGCATTAGAAATCATCCCAAAACATAATGTTTTAAAGCAAGAATAGTCATTCGTTACATCTTGCAGTTTTTGAGGATCAAAAATTTGAGAGTGGTTTAGCTGGGTTGTTCTGGTCCTCAGGAAGTGACATTCAGCTGTCAGCTGGGGCAGCAGTCATCTGAAGGCCTATCAGGCTGGGGAGTTGGAGGGTGGGCTGGAGAATTTGCTGCCAAGCCAAAGGGGATTCATCTGTGTGGCTAGCAAATTGGTACTGGTTGTCGGTCTGGGACTGGGAAGAGGGGAGAGGACCTCAGCTCCTCTCCATGTGGGCCCAGCCATGCGTCCTGTGTTCTATCACAACATGGTGGCTGGATTCCAAAAGTGAGCATGGGGAGACAGACAGACAGATGGGCAATCAAGCAGAAGTTGTGTCCCTTTCGTGACCCATCCTCATTCACCACATTCTCTTCATTAGACATGAGTTGCTAAGCTCAACCCGTACTCAAAAGTGAGGAGAGCCAGGTGCAGTGGCTTACGCCTGTAATCCCAGCACTTTGGGAGGCCAAGGCAGACGGAGATCATGAGGTCAAGAGATTGAGACCATCCTGGCCAACATGGCGAAACCTCGTCTCTACTAAAAATACAAAAAAAAAAAATTAGCTGGGCGCGGTGGCGCCAGAAGTTGCAATGAGCCAAGATCACACCACTGTACTCTAGCCTGGGTGACAGATTGAGGATCCTTCTAAAAAAAAAAAAAAGTCAGGAGAATGTAACTCTACTTTTTGAAGGGAGGAGTGTCTAAGAATTTGTGGGCATGTTGAAAACCATTCACCCTCAATTCTATTTGAAAAGTTTTATTCCTTAAACTGAGAAGTGAGTACATGGGGTTTTATTCTGTTATTCTCTGTACTTGTTTGTATATTAAGTAACGGGGAGATGAGCCATGGGGAAGAATGTTTCAGGCAGAATGAAGGAGAGCAGTGATGGTGAGTGGCAATGAAGGTGAGGACAGCAGCCAACCAGGGAGGAGCAGTGGGCAGTGCCCAACCATCTTGTAGGCTGAGACTGTATCATAGTCACAGTCAGAACCCCGGGCATCTTGGAGGCAACAGAGGCTCTCTGCCCCCTCTGAGCCCCAGCACCTGGTGTGATCCTGGCCTAGAGGAGGTGGTCCCAGTGTTAATAGCAATTCCTTCTCCGAACACAGCTCCTGGGTGCCTGCTCTTCTGAAGTACCATCCACTCCTCTCCCCTGACATTTGGCTCTTTTTCCCAGAAGCATCTTTCCACAGATATACTACTTGTCTATAAACATATCCACAAACACATACACTGTTATCTCCCCCCAAATGGAAGCCTATTCTACATCCTCTTCAATACCTTTTTTATAGCCTTTCTGACATACTCTGGGACTCTTTCATGTTAGTACATAGCAAGCTCCCCCATTCTTTTTTATGGCTTTATAGTACTCCATCATGTGGATGTACTACAAGTCATTTAACCGACCCCCTGTTTACACACTTTTATTTCATTTGCCTTTGTTATTACTTTTTAGACTTTAAACGTATAGAGTTGAGTTTAATAAAACCTCAGTGCATGGCAGATTATCATCACTGGCCCCTGTGTGTCCTCCTTTGTTTTGTTCCTCTCTCTCTCTAGTTATTCCTTTTTTATCCCATTTCCCCTTCATATCTTCTGCACCTCCACAGATCTTGACAGGTTCTATGTGCATCTTCGGTGTAGAAGTCTTCACGTACAACACAGCGGACTTGTTTATGTGGCTTCACTTGTGACTGCTGACTGCTGACTAGAGTTCTCTGCACCTACCATGTGTTCCTCTCTACCACCCCAGTAATAGGCCCCTGGGTGGCCTCTAACTCCCTGTGGCCACAACAGTATGGCCATGTCCTCTGTGGGCTTATATGAGAATTTTGTCTGGTCATATAGCTAAGAGTATAGTTGGTGGGTCATAGGGTGTGTCTATTCTGGTTATCTTTTGCGCTACAGTAAACTACCCTCAAATTAGAGGCTTAAAGCAACCACTTTTTTTTGTTGATTACTTTGTGAGTGAGGAATTTAGGAAGGGCTCAGCTGGGCGGCTCCTCTCCGAACCGTGTGGTATAAACTGAAACAGCCACAGCTGGAGGTTCCCTTTCAAGAGAGCGTCTTCACTCATGTCTGTGGCGGGGGAGGGGGCTTTGATGTTTGATGTTCCTGGCCCCCCTCTCCATCACATGGTGTCTCATCCTAGAGGACTTCTTTGCATTGTTAGCAGGACTTCCTCACAGAATGGCCGTCTTGGGGTGGTTGGAGTTCTTTCATGGCAGCTGGCTTCTCCTCAAGTAATTGTTCCAAGAAAGAGGAAGTAGAAACTGCCAGTCTTTCAAAGCCCAGGCCTGGAAATTGACACATCATCACTTCCACCATAGTTGTTTGTGAAAGCAGTCATGGGCCGGCCCAGATTCAGAGAGCAGATACACAGACCTACATCTAAATGGGAGGAATGTCAAATAATTGGTGGCCATCATTTATGCACCCAGTGTACAGATTGAACCGGACAGACTGCTCTCCAGATGACAGCTCCAGTCCATACACTTTCAGTGCTATCTCCACATCTTTACCCACATTGGCTCTGTCCAGCCTGTTCAGCTCCACCTTCACACTGCAGTAAACATTCTTGTAGATGGTTCATTTCACACACACACAAGTACAAATATAAGACAAAGTCCCAGAAGCAGATATGCTAAATCGAAGACAAGCACCTTTGCAGCCTTGACAGATATTGCCAGCTCTTTGATAAACCCTGTGTTCCACCTCCTCACAACAGA